CCCCCCCCCCAAAAAAAAAAAAAAACCCCTAAGTTGGCAGGCCATCTTGCCCAGACGGTCCAATCCAGATGGCTAGTTCGGACATCTAGTAACCCTGATGACCATGAAGGGCCTGAACCTACACATGGTTGGGATAGCTACGATTTGCATTGTGCCTAATTAGGCAACCTTGTGTGAATATTAATTAGCAAACCTTGCGTGCACTTAATTAGGAAAGCTCACCCCAGGATGTGGGTGTGGGATGGGAAGCATGCATACGGAGTGGGGGGTGCCCTTGTGACTGTGGCAAGGGAGAAGGGGTTTGGGGGGGGTTAAAGGAGTTGGAGGGGAGAGAGGGATTGGCTCCTGAGTCCTTAAACCGCCAGTACATGGCCCCAGCCTTGCTGGGAAGGAAACTCGTAGGAGGCTCGGGATACCAGACCGCAATGGCTGGTGGCGCCAGCCCAAAAAGAGAAAAAGTGCTCCGCTGGCGGCTCAGAAAAGCTTGGTGTGCAGTAAGGGGCCTGCAGGCCCGGGTGTACTGGTGGTTTAAGCCACAAATCTCCTTATGGTGCAGTCCCGCCCTCAATGTGGGTTTCTCCTTTGTTCACACGGGGAGGAGGATGGATCAGAAGGGTTTGAAGGGAGCCTAGGGTAATGAGAGGTAGGACGGTGGAGGCTATCATGATCCTATAGAGGCTCTTTGGTTGCCTTCCTACAAAAGGAAGGTTGTTGGCACGACTACAACTGTAGGGTGGATGGGTAACGACTAGGACGGAGGAGGCAGAGAGGCTCCAGTACCAGTGTGTGAGCGGCGGGTCCATTGAGAGAACATGGGTGAAGACAAAAGTATCACCCACAGCCACTTTGACGTGGCACTGGACATGAGCCTCGGTCCAATAACAGACAGGGGTTCCTGCAGCATCACAACATTGACAATTTGGAAAAAACAAAGTCTTGAACCAAGGTCCCAGACGCACAGGCAACCAACCATGGCCTTTTGGACTGGTCATAAGCCTGAGGAACACACCCCTGAACCTGGACCCCCTATCTAGACCACCGCGAAGGCCAAACCTTGAACTTCGGTTTAGTAATGGCATCCAAACAAAGCTCGAGGGATGTACATAAAAAACGCAGGGATTTTGCAGGGTTGTTTCTGCAAGATAAGTATAGGACACGTAACTCACAGGTCCGGAGTTCAAGCCCTTCCACATCACAATAATGCCCAGCTATGATGATCAGCTTGCTATTCTGTGGCAGCGAAGAAGCATGGCAGTCTGACACTGCACGGTGGCATCTTCTTTGTGCATGACTTTTTGCTTCTCAAACTATTCTCGGAGCTGGATGTCTTCAACTGCTAATGAATTCATTTTAACATAGCGCGGGTTCACAAGGTGCCCACATGTTTGTCAGAATGGGGTGTGCAATTCTTTAGCCACTCCAATGCCTAATCGGCAGAAAGTTGCAACAATCTAAGCGCGCCTTTATCAGACAAGCAGTGGTTATGTATTATTATTATTATTGCCTAATTACTCTAATATAATGTAAGTTCAACAGTCACATTGTACAGAGGGTCATTAGTAGTGAATCTTTTGGCCGTGTTTTGTTTTTAGACATCATCACGTAATTGCGCAGAGAGCATAACTGTAGATGCAAGAGGACTTATTCTAGAGAAGTATCTTTCCTTCTGTAAAAGAGGAATCACAACCATTCTTTTTTGTCTTTGCCCATTCGTTCCTACTCGTTCGTTCTTGCTTGGTAATGCTACAGCATCTGAAGGTGGGCCGCAGTGGGTGTCAGCCATCAAGAGCAGGAATGCTCGTCAGCGTCAGGCCTGGTCTTCTCACCAAAAGACTGATGCAACGTGCACAACGACTCTCCCAACTCTATCTGGTGACACCTGCGAGGTCAACTCCTCGTACGAACGCCGCCGATACCTTCTCTCTTTCCTCTAGCCCTGGTAGCTGTCAAGTTCTGCAGCCCCAGCCATTCCGGCTGCATTCTTTCTCACCACGCCATAGTCGAACACCACAGTTGCACGTCAGGAGGAGGAGCGCTTGCGCCATCCCTTCTCCGCGACCTGGTGTTATTCCAACCTTTGGACCTGTACGAGTAGCAAGGCGTAAGAAAGAACCAGCGCCCACAGCAGAGGGTGTAGAGCGTTTAGATGCGATTGACAAACCAGTGCATATATTTTATGGAGGTGATATGGTCGCAATGGAGTCTGCTGTAAAGGCTGCGATCAGTGCCGTGGTTGGCGAAGGGAGTGTGGAGCTGAACTTCCTTCGATTACAAGAGGTGGATGATCACGGGGCTGTACTATCTGCCATACAGACTTTAATGACTGCACCTCTGATAGGGGGGAAGGGCCGTGCAGTGTGGCTCGTCGAACCGAAAATTATGTCGAAACGCTGCCCAAGTTGGCTTGAGGTTCATTTGCAGGACTTAGTTCGCATGCTGCCGCGGACTTCGAGGCTGGTGATCACGCTTTCTGCTGCTCCTAACACAAGCTGGCGCAAAGCTCTCGTTTACCCAGAATTAGCTAACGCGGAGGAGTTTGTTGAACCAAACACCTGGAACAAGAAAAAGTTGACGGAGCAGGTACATAAGGCAGCTGCTCGAGATGGGTTGAAATTGTCGCCGAAAGCAGCTGAAATCGTGGCGGAATTTGCAGCTGGAAACACATTAACAGTTGATCGGGAGCTTAAGAAGCTCTCACTCTTAGCTACGGAGGCCAGCGGGGGGTTTGTTGATGCGGATATGGTGACGGGCTTGGTTCCCGTGGGGGTGGGATGCCTCCGCGCGGTGCAATTGGCCGACAGGATCAGGGAGGGGGATGTTCGGGAGGCTCTCAAAGGTTTGGAATTGCTGTTGGCCAGTGGAAAAGAGGAACCTGTCGGCATTCTGTTGGCCGTTGTTGGGCAGTTTAGGGAATGGCTTGTAGTGAAGGCGGGGATGGCCGCGGGAAAAACTGACGTGCAGATCGCCAAGGCCCTCGGTTTGCGAAACCCGAAGCGGTTGTTTTTTCTAAAAGCGGACGCCAAACACCTTCCGTTAGACGTGCTAAAGGAGTGCCTCCAGCTCTGCTTCGAGACGGAAGTCGTTCTGAAGACAGGTGCAGGCCTCACTGGCTATGCGTTGGCAGGGTTCTCGCCCATAGGGTCTCAGTTTGGTATTGTTTCTGACTCCAGCCCAGCCAGTGCGAGTCGAGTAGCTGCCTCACAGCTCATACAAGGGATGATGATCTCAATGTGCGAGATTTGCCGGAGTGGAAACATCGGAAACTCGATCTGATTGGGCAAATGTGAAATGGAGCAAAACACATTTGGAAGTCTGTCTGCTTGACGAAATTTGAAATGAAGCATAATACACCACTGTTCGCCATTGTTGCATCGTGCATTTTTCATCAGAAAATTCTTCAATCGATGATATCATGATGATATGACTTGGGTTCTCGTACGTTACATCCATGGTGTCCGGATTTCGTGAACTCGAGCAAACAATGGGGGAAATGCATGTGCATGATGATACTGGAAGCTGCTAAATGTGCTAGGAAGCTGAGAGGAAGAAAATGGACTAGAAAGTTAGAAACATCACAAGCTGCGTAGCACGGCGAACGTGTTCACGCCCCTCTGTGTTCACGCGAACGTGTTCACGCATTCGAGCGAACAGCTCACGAATGTGTTCGGACAAACTTTTTTTTTTTTGTAAAAAAAAAAAAATCTTTTTTTTTTCGCTTTTTGATTTTTCACTCACATTTTTGGACATGAGTCCAAGGCAAAAGTTGCTTGTATTGTTGTTTTACATGACACATTTTTTTCAGATTTTTCTGAGACTTTTTTTTTTTTTTTATATGTATATATACAGCCCCTCGTTTGTTGTCCTCTTCTCTCTCTCTGCCTACGGTTTACCGGGCAGTTCTGTTTGTGACGATATATATATTTTTTTATGTTCGCGTTCGGAGGGTTTTGGGCGTTAGTTCGTGTTCGGGCGAACATGTTCGGGTTTGCCTCCGAACGCGAACACGATGCTAAGCAGATCAGGTGTTATGGAACACACGTTGAACCACCAACCCATTTTCACAACGGGACGGATACCACAGGTGCTCCAATTTCTCGGCTGGTCCATCAGATGACAATCCACGTAGCAGCCAAAATTTTTTCGTCTGTCTGCAGAAACCGGTCCCGACCTACCCTTCTTGCACAGCTGTCTTTAGACTGAAAGATAGCCCAAATTCAGCTATAATGATCGTACGTTGTATTCGGGGGAAGAGACTGTAGCCGGTGGTGGCAAACCGGGGTTGCTGGTTTAAAGAAGAGTCTGCAGGGGAGAGTCCTTGGGGATGTCCGTTATAATCAGAACGGTACAGAGAAGATTAGCATGGCCCCTGTGCAAGGATGACACACGTAAATGGTGAAATGGTCCAATCTTTTTGTCCAACACTGCAGGTACAACTTGGCAGGACTGCACTTTTCGAGTTTTCCTCTTTTTCTTTTGAAAAGGCAAAAAAAGAAATTTAAGAGGAGCTTCCAGATTCTAATAGAGTTTTTTTTACTTTCTTTCTTTCTTTTTTTTTTTTCTTTTTTTTTTTTCTTTTTTTTTTCTCGTGATCCAAAAGAAATCTGTCTTCTCCTCATATGGGGGATGGCTGTATTCGCTACAGCATTCTCGTCGCTCGGTATTGGGCCTCACTCCACTACTCTCCACATGCACAAAAGACCGAAAATTTCCATGTTCTAGCTGTCTTCTCCTCATATAGGGGACAGCTGTGTTCGCTACACTATTCTCCTCTCTCGATATCGGGCCTCGCTGCACTACTCTAGATTCGAGCTTTTTCTAGAGTGCGGCATGGCTGCACTTACTCTATAAATGGGCACTCGAAAACTTGTTCTAGAGCTGTCAGAACGACTCTAGAAAAGTAATAGAGTCGTCATCGCTCCACTTACTCGATAGGTTCGCTGTAGATTTTTCATTTCTAGAGGTGTCAGAGCGGGTAGGCCCTCACTCTATATTGATCTAGAGTACCTGCCTGCAAAGGTGTTTTTTTTAAGGGAGGTCCGGAGGACCCTTGAAACGCCTTGATTTTCCTAGAGTGGGCCTTGAGTCTGGATGGACAACCCAGGCTGGCGCTGTCCTTTAGTGAAATGGCCGAACTCAGAAAGTGACGGAGCAACTCTAGCTTTTGTAGAGTCGAGAGCTAGTGCGGCGATGCGTAGGTTTTAGGACTTTTTGTGACTCTGACAGCTCTAGAAGGACTCTAGATTTTTTTCACAAGTCTAGAGTAGTGGAGTGAGGCCCATTGGGCCTCATTGGGCCTCGCTCCACTACTTTCCACATGCACAAAAGACAAAAATATGGCGGTGTATCTTTCCATGTTCTAGCGGAGGATTCAGTTTCATTTTGCACACATTTGGCGAGTAGTGCAGCGAGGTCCATTATCTGTTTACCGGGATGTGGTAATAACCCACAGACGAAATTCTGGTTAATGAGGGCTGATCCTACATGATACATTTCGGCTGTGAGGTTAGGGTCGTGAAGGAAGTCTTTGCTAATAGGAGGAAAAGGAGAATCCTTGTGAAATTCATGCGCGAGGCCGGTTGTGGAAGAGCACGATCGATCAGCTCACCACGGTTATGGAAGGAAATCCAAATCACAGTGCTGCCAGGTTCTTGTGCCCTGGCATTTAACCACCACCAACAATCCTGTTCCCAACAGGTGCCGCTACTCACCAATAGACAACAGAATGTGTGTGTGTGTGTGTGTGTGTTTGTGTGTAAGAGAGAGAGAGAGAGAGAGAGAGAGAGAGAGAGAGAGAGAGAGAGAGAGAGAGAGAGAGAGAGAGAGAG